CGAATAAAACGAAAGTTTTTTTTAACATTACTTAATCTTGTTACTCTGTTTGTCTTATAACTTTGTGTGTTATTCTTTTCTTTCTTAGGTACACAAGGTTGTGACTTTTCTCAAGGTTGTCAAATTTCTCATCCAAAAATTCTATAACTTTTCCCTGTGAGTTCCAAATAAAATTTCATGACTTCCAATAATATTTTTCCATAACTTTCAATAGTTAAAAATTTTTTGTATTTTCGTCCTGATTTGAAAACCGTTAAATATTTCGTTGAAAGATTAATTTAATAAGCATGGCAATATAAATTACTATTAATGTTGCTAACACTGTCTGCATTTTTAATTGTTAATTGATAATTCCAAAATTGTGTAGATGTGATGTATGGATACCTATATTAAACTTCTTTAAAATAAGATTTCTCATTTTCCAGATAATTCTACAAAATTCTGACTTTTTCCTGATTTCCTTGATCGTTTTCGATTTCTCTGATTCTGTGATTTCCAGTATTGTAACGATCCTGATACAGTTAACGAGTTTAATCATAAATATGCACAACTTGGGAAACAAAGAGTAAATTAAATAACATTCAATACATTGCACGTACAAGCGTGACAGCTTTCTCATGACCGCGACCGCGTAACGTCATGTTACGAGGTCACGACAAAATGATTTAGAATATATACAATATTATAAAGGTATATATATAATTATGACTGTCATGATTTTGTAACGTGATGTCATTCGGTTGGAAGAAAAATTATGACATTATAAAATTATATTAAAAATATATAGTTTTTAATAAATATATATATATATATATTTTTATCATAAAATTAGCATGTTCTATATTATATATCTATTATACATATACTATATATTATCGTATTAAAGTAAGGAGTATAGTACACATTTTTAGAATGTTCTATATTTTAATATCAATATTAATGTAAACGTGATGTAAATTCCTGAAAATTCCTCTACATTATCGAGATAAATCTCTATGAAGCTGGCCCCACTTTTTCAAAATTTTGGAAAAATAAGTAGAATTGTATTCTCCTTCCTCGTATTGGAGGGACGAGCACAAATCCGTAACTTTGAACTATTAACTATTTTATCTTTTATTTTAGTATTTCAATCTATATAGGAAAATCGATAGAACTGTTTGAGGGACTATCAGAACTCTCAAGAAAATACCGGATTTTTGCAAAAAATTAAGAAAACATTTGGCAAATATACTCTCCGTGATTTGCGATTGTCTTCTGAGAAATCCAAGTGATCCAAATTTCTGTGTTCACGATGAATTTGAACTCTGTATTTTTAGAATAGAAAGTATCTATACTATGCTTTGCGCCAAAATCGCTATTATTAGAACTGATAAGAATCAGGAAGAAAAAGAATTAAAATTTATTTTTAAATGTAACATAGCGCTGTATATTTTTGATAATAATCTAAAAGTGCTTTTATTGAAATTTTATTTTAATAATTTTTTAACGGAAAAAAATTATTTCTTCAATTATGCGAGAAGGTTTGCGGGTTATCGCCGTGTCTTTCTTCATTTCTTCTGCAAACCTTCTCGCATAATTGAAGAAAATACCCGTGAAAGCCTCAAAAGCGTAAAAATTATTTCCTTTGTTTTTGCGAATAATGTGCAAATGTTAAAATGTTTGTATCTTGTCTGTTTTCATATAACATATGAACACTAAAAATTCTGTAAGGCTGAAATTAAAAGACAAATAATACGTTTATTCATAAAACACGAACTCTACTTCGATTCTTCATATAATACAACAGTATCAAATAATATTAATACTTCTGAAGAAATTTTGCTACCAAGTCTGCAAAGACGAGCGATGTGATTTTTAATTGCACACATTAATTGGGTAATATATTGATAAACATGGCTTTACGAATAAATCAAATTAAGTTACAAAGGAGCTACAAGTGAATGCTGGTTGTACTAAAGGTTTTTGTATATAATAAAAAAATTTAAACGATCATTTATTTATATACTAAAGTTTGTTTGTAAAATATTGAGGATAATCTAATAATAGTCGAAATATCTATTGATAAAGAGTACCAAGAATTTATACGCAATAAGAACCACGATAAGCATTGATTCGTATGTTCTTTTGTTACTTAATTTGAGTCACATTAATTGGTTTTTCTGCGAAAATGGTTCATAATAGAAAGCAATTAAAATTTGCGCTGCGTGAGAAAATTGCCGCCAAGTTAGTAGATACAAGATGTCAACGTATGGCGTAAATGAAGAGGCTAACAGATTAATGGCATTTGGCGATGATGTTCCACCTATTCTACTTGACGCAACAGTTTTGTGTAAAGTTTAATTGTTTGCAACTGCAAAGCACCGATCCCATTAAAAAAATTTAAAGTGCAAAACATATTATATTATCCTGCACTATTATTCATAATATAGGAATGGATTAATTCCATTGGAGTCGAGAACAACAATTAATATCGAGGTTAACATACAAAATGGCGCATAAACAAGATGCTAATAGTGTTTTAACTATGTAGATGCTATTGGTGGGATAGAAAAGAAATTGTGTGTCTTCCTAATGGTAACAATCTACCCATTTATTTTTATATGAATGCGTATGTGCGTTTCCAGAGGACAACCAGAATTCTGCTTATTTTTTTCAAATTTTGAAGAAGCGGGACCAGCTTCACAGAGATCCGAGGTACAAAAATTAATAAATTATACTGACATAAAAAAATCTAATATTTTTGTGTTACAATAAAACTTTTTATTTAAATACATCGTTAAAGATTTATTGTAAAAATTTCTATCGTTTATCTTTATTTCTTTTTTACGACTCAGAGAACAGAATTCGAAATATATTGGAAAGATTGCGCCTGTATTATTTATCATCGGCATAAATATCAATTTCAGCGTCGTTTCGTGCAATAGTAATTTATTTTTAAGTTCTCTTTTTCAGATAGAATATATCATCCACGTTAAAATTATATTACATATTATACCATAAAATTTATGGACTTTCTGATGTATTTTTAATAATAAAATACCAATACACATATATCCACGCACACAAGTATAAACTTCTAAATTCCTTTGTGACATTTTATCAAGAGATGCAAAGTTTAATAAATGACAGTAAAAGGATCAACGATGATGATCATCTTCGACTCGAATGCATCGTTAACAAGTAAAAAGTGATGAAGTGAATTTTAAATTTTTCCACATTAAGTAAATTTCTTTTACATTAAAGGATAACAGATATCGAATAAGACGCACAAACAAATTGAGTTTCATATTTAAAATAATTTGCAAAATAAAAGGGTTCAGAACCAGTAAAGTACGATAAACATTTTAATCGCAAATATTGATGGTTACTAACATACATATAAATAATATTCCTTACAACTTTAAATTCAAAAATAACCTAGCAAACGTTTCGACTTCGATCGAGTCATTCTCAATGATTCAATAATATTTTAGTAACAATCGCAAAATAAATGATTAAAATCTATTATAATCTAGTATAAGCATTTTTTCTTGTCATGTGTCATAAGGTTATGTGTCAATAAATAATTCAATCTGTTTTTGAAAACTTGGTAAAAATATGAATCTAAAATTTAACGATTAACATATAAAAAATGAGATAAAATTATAACTATGTACCTTATGTAGAGATAATAGAATATCGGTAATCAACATCGTGATAAATAAAAATAATCTAATTTGTTTTTAATTTCAGTAAAGATACGAATCTATAAAAATTAACTGCATTTTAAAATTCTCGACAGATTAGAAAAAATTTTGGTTAGAAAGAATTTAGGTTAGAACATCGAGAAAAAAGTATTTGATATTTGTGATTATAATTACATAGTAAAATAATTATGGTTAAAATTCCGTTTTTATGATTATTATTGCTACAATGTAACAATAATTATTTATAATTCTATAAACAAAAAGATATACATAATTGGCTAAAAAATTTATTACCAAAAATGACTAAAAAAAGTCATAAAAATGGAACACCTAACTAAATTATTATATTTTTCTGTAATTATATAGGTGTAGAAATTAATTTGATCCGTTTTTGTGTTCAAAAATGCATTTATTTCAAAACAAAATGAATGAACAGATTAATTAAAATATTATCCATCGCTGGCTATTACTTTTTCTCATCTCTCAGACAATTTTCGAATTCCATCTCGAAAAAACGACTCGTCTTTGGAGGCGATCATCTTTTGGAAAATGGATCGAACTAATTTGTACTCCCAAAAGGTTTGTTATTTGTAACTACAATTACAAAATAAAGTATTATGATTAGAACTTTGTTATAGATTACTATACAATATTTGTAATAACTATATACAAAAAATATACGTAGCTGGCACCATGAAAATGAACAATATAAATGATGCTATAAAAATGGAGCACCTAACCAAGTTATGTTACCATACAATTATAAGAGATTTGTTCTGAGGCGAAAGTGTGTTTTGTACTTAAAACGAGATAGGTTCTATATATTTGAGCGTTAAAAAGAAAATCAAAGATTCTAAATACAAAAAGTGCAAACACGCGAGGACAGACCCTACTACATGATATATAGTGACAAATATCACAAACAAACACTTTTCTCTCAACAGTCTATCCGTCTATTGATTAGAAAGAGAGAACGGTGAACGACATGCCGTAAAACGATATGTCGTGGTCGTAAAAAACGGTATGTCAAGTGAAACGTTCATCGTCAACCGGAAGAAAGTTGGGCCTCGATGCGACGAGGTCGGATCCTTCGTGGACCATCAGTTCCGCGCCGCGCCGGTTTACCTTCGGGCGTGTTTCTTTTCGACGCTCAAGGTTTCTCTCCGGGCGGATCGATCGCAGGTGCGTCACTTAACCTCAAAGTGAGCCGGTACACGCGCGCGTGCACGCTCCTCGATCACGCGGTCCCGCCCCGACGACCTCGGCGCGGATAACGCGACCGCGCGGATTATTATGCGCGCGGGTTACACCCACCTGCTATTACACGTTCCTTTCTTCTTCTCCCCGGTCGTGACACGATGGTCCTCCTGTGCCTGTCCTCCACTTATCGTATCCGTCTCGCCGTTCCCAAGCACCCTTTATCCGATGAGCACCACGTAACCGGCAACTCGTCGACGACTGTGTAATATCTCTCGCGCAGCAACACCCCTCGTCGTTCGCCGCCGCCGTCTCTCCTTCTGTCACCTAAACGCGCACATAAACGCACGGCACGCGAAGCACCACCTTCCGCGCTGGAGGACGGTAAACGCGAAGGCAACAACCTCGGCGTCCTCGGGCGATTCTTCCGTGATCGTCGTTACTTCCTCCGGCGGCGGCCGCGACCTCGTGATGAAGTGTGCCGCGTACGAGGCGAAGCAAGTGAATAACGAGAAATTACAAAATTACACGCTTTAACCGTCGCGGCTCGGTAAACTCGAGTAACGACTGCCCGCCGTCGGCCGCAAGTTTTCTTCAGTCCGTCAGGCGGGCGGCACGCGTCAGTCTTCCTCCTCTTCTAACGTCGCCCGGCCCGGCCTCGGCGGTGCCGCCGGCGGTGGATGCACGAAAGGGGGAGGCGAAGCGGAAGAAGAGGGACGCGACGAGAGGAGAAACCGGGTGAGAGAGAGGGATCGCGCCGCGTCGCTGCTAAGCTCACACACGCGGTCACGCTTGAGCGACGACCGTCGTCCCCGCCTTTTAGCACCGACGCTGCCGCCGACGAGTCTCTCTCGCTCGCCCGCTAACCCACGGCTGACCACGGGAACGTAGTCGATCGCGCCTTCCTCTCCGACCTGCCTGCTCCTTCCGTCTCCCTTCGGGACCCGCGCCGCCCGCGCGACGCTGCTCAATCTCCTCCACGTTTTCTCTCATCTACATCCTCTCGTCTGCTAGTTCTGTTGGGCTCTCCCGCCCGTGTTACCTCTTTCCGCTACCTACGCTGCACCGGTTCTTTCTCTTTCTTTCTTTTACCGACGACGAGTACTCCCTTTTTTCCTCGCTGCTCCGAGATTACGCGACGTTATTCGTTCGAAAGCGCTTCGCGCTCGAATCTCCGCGAACCTAACTGTTCTCCATTTAATTGGTAATCGCGTAGATAGACGGAAATGACGGAAAGGGCGGAACGAGCAGATGTCATGGGCGCGGGAGCGGTTGTGGCGAGACCGCTCTGAGTCTCATTCGCAAATCTAGTGCCATCTTGCGGCATGACGTCCAACTGTAATTTTATCATGTGTAGCATGGTGTAACGTCAAGTGTGAAATTTGCCTAATCCAAGAGACCAAAAGCGTCTATCTTGCATCTAATTGTAATTAATTTTCAAGGATTCAATTTATTTCTTCTGCAGTTGAGACTTCACTTATATTATAATTTTGTCTCCTAATGGAAATTAAGAGGTCTATTTTACAATGTGCTTTTTGTGTTTTATATATACTTTCTACCTCTTGCTTTCTTCCCTCTTTGCAATGGTGTTTTATTGACAATTATATTTCTTGCCACGTATTTCTTGTTTCTTTTCAAGTTTTATTCATTAACTTTTATCTCGGGCGATAGAAAATGAAAAACGGGACAAGAGGCAAAACAGCAAGAAATAGGAAACAAAGAGCACACACAAATTGTAGAAGAGATTTAATATTTCTTTAAAAAAAACTTTTTTCCGCATATAATATGCAGGGAAACGGAAGTATTTTATCTATTTGAATGTAAATATGTGCGGTAAATTTTCATTTTATGATTATTATTCTAATTTATAGCCATAATCTTATGATTATTTTATAATTCCTGTAAAATGATTTATGATTGCCGTTTTAATGATTAGTTATACCGTACGTTTGAGCTCTTAAAAGAGCGTAAAGAAAACTTTTGTTATTGTACATGAGTACTGATGTAACTGTTTTTATACAGACGCAATTCTTGTGAAAAAATGTGTGCTGCTAGATTAATAAAAAAAACTATTGAATAATGTACAATATTCAATATGAATAGTTTTGAAATTTTTTCTTATTGCTTTTTATGAACCCAATAATAATTTTTCATAAGGGAGAATTCATTTATATATCTGGCAATGTAAAGAAATAAAATAAATTTTTAAAAAAGCGCGCGACTGTTAATCCAATTCTCCATGTTCGCATGGAGAGCGTTTAACGGCAAAGATTTTTGTGATTTTTCTCTTTTATATTATATTGCGACATGGTCCTACGTTGCATTTATATTTTAATAACATTATTATAATTTATTTAAATTTATTTTGCAGCTTTACACAAAAAGTATGTTATGAGGAAAAATCAGTAAACAGGACACACCGGTACCGAGCGAACCACCGATTTTTAGCCTTTCTTTTTCTCGTTAAATAATTGCATCACATAAAATGCGCATTCTACAGAAAACTACTTTCTTTTTATCATAACGATCTGTTATCATCAAGTTACTGAAAGTTTGGATCAGAAATTTATCTTAGTATTTTTTTTTGCTGATCGTAAGTTCTTATTTTACAAACATCCAAAATTTGATTAATCTAAATTATAAGTAAACTCAAACAATAACATACACGCTTTAATGTGCCTAAGCAGAACAAAATGTTATGGCTTTCATCATCAAAATAGCTCTAAAATTATTATTAAAAGTCACTTTTCGATTAGTCACGATTCGTTTTAATGTCATTTTGATGATATCGTAACATGTTATTTTGTTGGATAATAAATGTCTTCCTCTTTTAAACTATAATTACAGCATTTACGATTGGATATATAAAACATCGACTTTTATCAGATTTTTCTTTTTCTTACATTCAGAAATCTCTATCGTGCACGTTACTTATCTGCACTGAGAAAAAGATCTGATTTAAAAATTGATTTGTGAGAAACACATGCTTTGCAAATGTTATTTATAATTCGACATTTTTCTCTCAGTATAATACATAGTATACAAGGAGATTCACATAAAACATATATGATATATAGGATGGTTCTCTGTTTATAAGACTATTAAGATATGATTATCAACAAATTAATAGTTTATTGACTAGATATTTACTTCAATATATGCCAGAATAAAATATCTTATAAACTATTATTGGTTTTTTCATATGTCTACCTTAATACTTTTATGTGCAGAATAATTAGAAGAATCATATATTATGTAAAAAAAATTATATATTCCACTTAAAAAAGTGAAGGTGACCTTCGTATCTTTTTGGCTCTTTCACCTAGAAAAAAAAACAAAGTTATGTCTCCCTCAAAACTGTTCCATTTTTCGTCTAAAACGCGTTTTCTTTTTCTATCTTCCATATTTTTCGAGTTATTGAATTGTCATATTTTACGTAAGTAACTTGGTCCATTTAAAAAATTCAAAGTGACATTGCTCTGACCTTGGTGACGCCACCCAAGGTCATACTGATCTGATCACTGAATAGATCATTTAGAACCCCATAACTTTTGTCTGAAACGTTTCTTTCTAAAATGCTCTGCTTTCGAGATAAAAGGGATGGACGGGTGGTCTCGGACACCCTGTATATATAGCTGTATCTGTAGAATATAATTAAATTTTGTTATATATTATTTATAAACGGAAGGAGATATGAACAAAATTATAATCTCATTTTGTTTTAAATAACCAGTTTATATGTAACTAGCTACTAACCTTCAGCTGGTAGTAATTGAAAATAAAAAAATCAACAACTGGTAATAGAAATAAAAAACGGATATGCACTAATAAAATGATATATGCCTGTACGCGTAGTTATTATGGATTTTAAGTGAGCGAACTTTATTTCGTTAAATATTTAACTTGATCTTGAGTGAGCGAACTTTATCCTTGTTAAATGTTTAAAATAAAATTAATCGTTCACAACTCATTGTGATATGATATTTTTGCACGAGAATTGTTGTCTATATTCTATTTCTTCAAATTAAACAATTAAAGTAACGTATTTAATTTTGTGCAGTGGTAAAAGTGAGTAATCGGAAAATTGAATTCGTATGAAAAGGACGATTTTGCTGCTTCCAAAAATGTACTAAATTTTATTAAATCTTATATCTATTTGAAAAGTACTAACTAAATATTTATTACAAATTTAAACATATTTATTTGGTAATAGAACCTTAAGTAGAACCTTAAATTAAGTATCATTTTTTAATAATTTTTTCATAAAATTATTTCAGCTAATCTGTATCCAACTAAATTTTTAGATGTTTTAGCAAAATCGATTCTTCTCTGTTCAACGCATCAAGTCGGCTGTATATTTCCCTCGCAAATCACGAATTCAGTTTCGTAACACCGTGACATCTTTTCTATTGATGAAGGAGTACGCAAGTTCGCCGCGTCAAGTTCGTCGCGGGAGAGAAGAAAGTGAATAAATGGACTGGAATGGGAGCGATTCCGGTTATCTTTGGAAAAAAGTAGTAGAGTTGCCGTTCCAAACGTAACAGTCTCCAAGAAGTTATGCAAGTCACGATGCGTGCGATCGTTGGTGTAAATCGACAACAGCGGCGGCGGTCAGCGAAAGCGATCTGTGTTGCTCACTGGTCTCCTTTCAACGATAAACTGGATGCTGGTCGTTCGTGCGTTATTCCAACTTAATTTTTGCTCACGGCTTTAGAACAGCGATTTTTCATCTTGATTTTTGTATCTTATAATTATGAGATTCCATCCGGCTAGTCCTTTCCTGTCTTTTAGTTTGGCATTGTGTAAACATGTTTCTTCTTGCTTTATTTTCTGCAACATTCTCTAATATTTCTAATGTAAGAACGGTTTTGCTCCATTTAAAACTAGATCTAGATAAAAAAACTTTTCTAATAATATTTGACATTTTTTTTTTAAGTCAATAGCGACGTGCGCAAGTTGTGTGCAATCGGAACCGTTCCCTCTATTACTCGCGATGTTTCGTTATAGAAAAGTAACTGAAAGTTACTTTTTGAATAACAGTCATTGTAACGCGTTACTTTTCAGAGTAACTTGTAATGATAATTACTTTTTGAGAGAAGGAAACTGTAACTGTGACTAATTACTTTTACAAGGAAACTTACTTAACTGTGCTTTTACGATATAATAAACTTTTCAGCAGTGCATTCATGACTCATCGGCGATAATCTTCCTATATCTGATAGCTTTAAGAAAAATCGTAAATTACATCACTCCCATGACATTGCAAAACATAACAATTAATCTCCTATGAAGGAAAAGACAGTTTTTCAGGGTATAAATAGAGAACCATCAGGAACAAAAAACAACTAACAGTAGAGCAGTTCCTTTGTATATCTCAGTTCAATTAAATCACTTTGTTATATACAAAGAAGAATTTGGTTTAGTTTAATTAAGCACTTAACCTGGTGAGAAGTGACTGATCTTTGAGAGAGGTCATCTTTGGACCCATTTATATGAACTGAATCTTCAGGAGCTCAGGCTTCTCTACATATATAATACATTTTATCTATAACAATAAATTACATTGGATATCAATAGTCACAAACTAAAAATTATGAGTATATCGATTTCGTTGTCTTAGGTGAAAAATTTATTTTTATTTTAGAAAAACTCTGAATTTAAATTCTTATAAAATGTATAAAAAAATAAAATATTCAAATTTAAAAAAATGCACCTTAGTAGTAAGTGAACAATACATTCGATAATGTCTGGCTAGAATTTTAATAAAAAGATTAACTTTTTTACAAAAAAAAT